GCTATTTAACCTTTCAATTGATTCTTTAATTTAAATTATATAAATTTCCATTACTAAGAACTCTACTTGGGTCTTTTACACATAGGAGCGGTCATTTTTGAAAGCACCTTGCTCCTTGTGTTTTTTGAAGTTATTTATTTAAGGATACTATGCATCTATTCAGAATTTTACCTGTTAATGCCAACTCCTGATGACTTTTTGCATCTGGTGTTCTTGTTTGTGGATTCTGCTGGTTTTCACTCAGGGTGACTTATTTTTTTGTGCATCATAAAATTTGCTATTATGAATTCATCTTTGGGAATATTTTCAATCCTGGAATAAGATGGGTTTTCCGGGAAATATCTATTTTTGCCTCTATCAAACAATTGGGATGCAATATACCTGATGTCATTTGGTTTGATGATTCTCAGTGTGTATCTTCTTGATCATACAATGTCTATCCCAAACCCTGAAGGGCTGATAACACAACACCATGAATATTTAGAGGAAACTTTTTAAAATCCTCCACCCAAAGCCAAACCAGGAAAAATAATACTTCTTGTTAACTGCCTGTGGAATTATTTTGTTGATTTGTCCTTTCATTAAACGTGTAGCCCTTCCTATATCCTGGCTTCATACAGAAATGATTTCCGTCTCACTCCTAGTTTACTACAAGGTCCAGTGGGTCTTGCCCAATTTCCACACATACTAATTCGGGGGCCTCTGGGATCCACATATGAGTCTATTGGATCTAGTGCAGTGGTTGGCAAACTAATTAGTCAACAGAGCCAAATATCAACAGTACAATGATTGAAGTTTCTTTTGAGAGCCACATTTTTTAAACTTTAACTATATAGGTAGGTACATTGTTATTAACTTAATTAGGGTACTCCTAAGCTGGCCTTTGCTAAAAGCGTCCTCAATCTGACTGAGGTACGTTCGCTGAGGTCGACCCCTTCCAACTCTCCCATCCACACTCGTCTTGTATATTTGTTTCCTCGATCTTTTGTCACCCGTGTGGGATTTGCGGAAGCGACTAGCACTAACCACTGCACATGAGACTGCTGACTGACTGGTTCACTCAACTCCTGCATGAATCAAGCACACCTCCCCCACACCGCATCTCCTGTCGCCCAACTGACCAACACCCCCCACTTCTTCTAACGCCACTTCTTCAAAATAGACTTGCCCAGGCTGAAAACCGACTTCTGCGCATGGGCCATGAAGTTTCAATCGCACTATACATTCGCGCCCGCACGTGGTATTTTGTGAAGAGCCACACTCAAGGGGCCAAAGAGCTGCATGTGGCTCGCGAGCCGCGGTTTGCCGACCACTGATCTAGTGGGTCCAGTGCCAGCTTCCCTTCCTGCCTCATGCTTCTATTTCCCCAAGAAGTGGGCAAATTCACCTACAGATAAGTCAGGCTGTGAGCACCTTTCTATATGACAGCACAGGTTTCTCCTAAGAAGCATTAAAACACTAGCTAGAAGCTTGAATTCTGGCATCAGACAGACCTGAGTTTAAAATTTGGCTCTATTGCTTGATCACTGGATCTAACTTTGAAAGGGTTACACAATTCCTTTATATATCTCCACATATGTAAAATGACGATAATAATGAAACCCACAAAATGAGGTAGGAGGGTTTGCTATAAGAATGGGATGAAATTACCCATATAAACTACATAACACTGTGTCACATAGAGAAAAAACATGCAACGTAGTTACTACCTAAATTTATTTCTCACTATAATACATGAAATTATACCTTAGCCATTCCTTTCCTGAGGTTAGCTATTGCCCTTTCTGGGGAAATTTTATTTATTATTACAATAGTTTTAGCTGTTTTAATTGCAAAATAAATGCATGGTATTGTGATATACAGAGATTATTAAAATGAGAATTTTTAAATATTTTTATTGAGTTTCAGAAAGAGAGGAAAGGAGAGGGAGAGGGAGAGAGAGAGAAACATTGATGTCAAAGTGGAACATCAATTGCCAGCAACCCTGGCATGTGCTCTGACCAGGAATCTAACTGGCAACTTTTCTGTACATGGGATGACACTCAACCAACTGAGCCATACCGGCCAGGGCTAAAATGAGAATTTAAATCATGCATTTAAATAAAGTTAGATCATATCATACATACTCTTTTATAATTTATTCTCTTAACCCATCAATATTTCATGAACACCATGTTATACTAAAAAAAACCTTATATCAACTTCTATAATAATATTTTAATGTATTAATTATAATCTCTTTTAAAAATTGTTTAATGGTTTTTAGAGAGAGAGGAAGGGAGAGAGAGAGAGAGAGAGACATCAATGATTTGCCTCCTGTACACACCCCAACTGGGGATCAAACCCGCAACCTAGGTATGTGCCCTGACTGGGAATCGAACCCACAACCCTCTGGTGTATGGGATGATGCTCCAACCAACTGAGCCACTCACCCAGAGCTAACCATCTTTTATATATCAGTTTTAAGTCAAAACCAATGGCAAGGTAAAAACCGTCATTGCTAGATGACAGGGTTATTTCATTTAAAAAGCAATGGTTGTGTGTTTTGGTTTATTTCTCTTACAGACTCAGCAGGCAATAATGAAATCCTCTTTTTCCCCACCTTCACATGACTGTCTCCTTCTTATTCAGATTTTAACTCAAATATCACCTTCCCAAAAAAGATCTTTCCTGGCCACCTTACCTAATACAGCACTGTTGCCCCAACCACCAGTCACTCACATTGATTATCACTTTATCCTATTTTAATCCTTACTAATCACCATTATCTGATAGAAATATATATGCTATATATACATAATAGACATGTTCTTATTTATTGTCCGTCTCCCATTGCTGTACACACAAATACACATCAATGCTACTAAAGCAAGCACCTTTTCTATTTTCTGCATCGCTGTTTTCTTATAGCTTAGAAAAAACACAGCAACATCACGGGAATTCAATAACTACTGAATGTTATGGATGAGTTGTACTTCTTCAAAATTCCTGTGTTGCAGTCTTAACTCCCAGTACTTTAGAATCTGACTGTATTTGGCGACAGAGTCATGAAAGACCTAATTAAGTTAAACCAAAGCCATTGGGGTGGGCTCTAATCCAATCTGGCTGGTGTCCATATCACAAGAGATTAGGACATAGTTGGAGATAACACCAGGGTTGTGCCCACAGAGGAAAAGTAATGTGAGAACACTGTGAGAAGGTAGCCATCTGCAAACCAAGGAGGGAGGCCTCAGGAGAAACCAATCCTGCCAACACCTTGATCTTGGACTTCTAGTTCCCAGAACTGTGAGAAAATAAATTTCCATTGTTTGAGATACCCATTCTGTGGTATTTTGTTATGGCAGCTTTATATAGCAAACTAATACACTAGTAGAGAAATATAATTCAGAAATAGAGGAAAGTTGGCCAAGATGTATGGACTTCCTTGGAGAAAAACTCTAGAAAAGCATTTGAATGTAGATAATGTCAACCCATAAGAAAATGAACTAGATTGTTCTAACAGGGAGGGAACAGATGCTTTGACCTTTATATCTGGATACAAAGGTGGCCCAACAACATGATCCAGGCCCTTTGCTGTCTCCAAGGCTGGGAAAGGGACAGATGTTATGGGTTCTAGATACGTAAGCCCAGAACCTGCTCAAACACAGTGGCCCTGAAGTGGAGGGTCTTCAAATGGAAACTGTGTTGGTTGGTGCCTGTGTGGACAGAGCACTCCCTTTTCGACCTGAGAGCCTTTTGCATATACTCCTGAATGTGTTGGCCTATAGCAGTGGTTCTCAACCTTCCTAATGCCTTGACCCTTTAATACAGTTCCTCATGTTGTGGGGACCCCCAACCATAAGATTATTTTTGTTGCTACTTCATAACTGTTATTTTGCTACTATTACGAATCTTAATGTAAATATCTGATATGCAGGATGTATTTTCATTGTTACAAATTGAACATAATTAAAGCATAGTGATTAATCACAAAAACAATATGTAATTATATATGTGTTTTCCGATGGTCTTAGGCGACCCCTGTGAAAGGATCATTCGACCCCCAAAGGGGTCGCGACCCACAGGTTGGGAACCGCTGGTCTAGAGTTTTATGAGCCAAATGAGTGGAGGGAGCCCAATTGGCTTATCACCAAGCTGGGCTTGTGGGACTCAATCTGGATATAATATGAACTGGAAAATAAATACACATGTTACTCATTAAACTCTGAGTATCATGGGAGAAGTCATGGCTGCTACAATAACAATTGCCCACATGGGTAGTCCTCCTAGGCTCTCTCCCGGTTTCTTCTGTTGTTTTTTTTTAATATATTTTACTGATTTTTTACAGAGAGGAAGGGAGAGTGATAGAGAGTTAGAAACATTGATCAGCTGCTTTCTGCACACCTCCTACTGGAAATGTGCCCGCAACCAAGGTACATGCCCTTGACCAGAATTGAACCTGGGACCTTTCAGTCTGCAGGCCGACGCTCTATCCACTGAGCCAAACTGGTTAGGGCCCGATTTCTTCTGCTTATTCTCCAATAACCTTGGGAGTCACTTAAGCAATTCTAGTAGGTCCAAGGATGGGACAAAGAGTGACTGAAATGTGAACAGAAAGACCATTATAGTATAGAGACCAATCTATATTTACATTAAAAAATAACCTCAATCCACTTCCCTATTCACCCCTCCATAGAGGCCTAAAGAATATATAAAATATGCAAGTGTTTCCTCTGGACATAAAACATGTTTGAGCTCCCTGGTTTCAAGGTGGGGGATAGGATGGGGTTAGGGGAGGAGCAGAGGCTACTCCATTTAGCCAACCAGCCATGACCTGTCTATGCCTCCACGTCTCTCTCACTCTTGGATTTTTCTGGATCACACAGAGGGCTCCCCCACTATCCAGATTCAGTGACCTTCAGGATAAGGTATTCAAGAAAATAGTCCTTATTAGATAAAGGAAAAAGATATAGTTTAGAAAAATAATGGAGGAAGAAAGGAGCTGGGAGATTGGAAGAAAGATAGCCCAGAATGTGACAATCTGTTTGGAGAGTGATAAAAAAGACTGATGCCCAAGGAGGAGTTGATTGTTGATTATGAGCTGAGAAGAAATAACTGAGTTGGGAGGGGGGGATTTAAAAGGAAGAAATTAGTTATTTGTAATCTGACCAAAATCTACTTCTCAGACTACTGGGAGGTCTGAAAGAATCTAATATGTGGCAACACGATGGAAATGAATTTAGCTTAAAGAGGTGTCATCTGTTTATTCCTTAACCAGGTGACCTTGATGAAGTCAACCCCTGAGCTTTAGATTTCTCTTTGGTAAAAAGAAGAAAACTATACTTCCTGCCTACCTCATGAGACTGTACTGAGCATCGAATAAAAGGAAGGGGAGCCAACATTTCTATGTTTAAGCAGGCTGATTCTAGAGTCAGACTACCATGCTACCATTCATCTCTACAAATGACTGTCTGTGTGACCTTGAGGAAGTTACTTCACCTCTATAAAGCTCATTTTGGCATCTATAAAATGGCCAACCCCATAAGTATCTATGATAATAAAATTTTTAAAAAAGGTCCTTGAAAGGTTCACACAGTGTTTGTATAGTAAGCACATAAAAACTATTTCATATTATCATAATTAAAAGACAATGGTTTGATATGCTAAGCACTAAATATGAACTAAGAGAATGTCTTAAAGAAATAGACAAAGGAATTCAAGGTTCAGATTGAAGAGTACCAAGAGCTGTATAGACTTATCCAAATTGTATAGTATTTTCATTTGTGCATCAGCCCCTCCTTCAGATCCTGAACCCTGCCATGAAAATACTATACAAGAAGTATTAATTTAGAAGGCATTGGGGGCCAGGTGGAGTCTCTTTTTTTTTTTTTTTTTCAAAAATGTTAAGATTTTATTTACAAAGCTTCTTTGTTGTACAGAAAGTAAAAATATGTTACAGTCTTGGTGTAACTGGTAGCCACAGCTGGTTGACTCACCAATCATAGCTATCCACGCTACAGCAAGAGTCTTACATGAAAACCTAAGAATGCTTACAATGTTGTTGGGGTGCAGTCCCCAAGCTTGGTGGTGAATTTCCAAAAGGGACTAAATGGAGGAAGGTGGAATGTCACAGGAACTATTCTTTGGCTCTTTGAGTGGGTGGGTGTCCTGGGGTTTGTATCACAGCTACCTTTTTTTAAAAAAACAGCTACCAAATCCATATGATTTGTGGGGTTTTTTTTGCAGATTATTTGGGTTCTTAACATCTTCTCCATCATCTGTTTCTCTCTTCCTCTTTTCACCTTTCCCGCTTTCTTCCTCCTCTTCATCCTCATCCTCATCATCTTCATCTTCATCAACTTCTCCATCATGTCCAAATTCTTCTTCCTCCCCACTGACTTCATCTTCATCCTCTTCTCCTTCTACATCTTCGTCTTTATCTTCATCATCAAATTCTTCTTCCTAACCAACCTCATTCTCCTCGTACTCCTCATCTTCTCCTTCTTCATCATCCTCTTTTTCATCCACACAGTCCACCTCAGCATCTGAGTCAGGAGCTTCTCGATCCTCTTGGTCATAGCCATCCAGGTAGGTCAGCTGGGGCAAGAGTTTGAAGACAATTTCTCAGTAGTCATTCAGGTTAGTAACCTCACAGTTAAACAGATCCAGGCTTTTCCGACATTCAACTTTTTCAAAGGTTCCAAGGTACTGATATCTTTCAGTTTATTTCCACTTAAATTTAGATGTGTGACATTTGGAAGTTTTTCTGCCAACATGTCCAAACATCCAGAGATTGTATTGTCACTGAGTTCAAGCTTTTTCAATTTTGGTAGTTTGGGGAAATTTGAAACTGAAATCAAGCCTACATTTATTAAACTGAGGAACTCTAAGTTCACAAATTCAGCTGTTAAGCCCTCAGTTTCCCATCATCTGATTTGCAATTGTCCAGGACAAGTTCTTGAACAGCTGCCAGGGTCCGGTTCCTCAGCTCCAGCTTGAAGATACACACCAACCTCTGGCTTCGTCCGATTTTTAGTCACTTGAATACACATTTGCCCTTTAGCAATGCATACAGGCAGATCAAAGGTAAAGTTTGATGAACAATGTAAGGATTATCAGGTTAGGAAATTGTGTTGAGCCATTGAGCCCACAGCAGGGCAGTTTTATGCTGATTTTCAACCCAGCTGAATATCAAAGTCTCTTGGTCTTCCAATGTTTCTTTTTGCATTTTTATGCTAACTGCTGTTTGCTTTAGCCTCCAGGAGTGGAAGGTTAATTACATCTTCTATTTCTGCCAGGAAGACAAGCATCAGGAGGGATCAGGATGGAGCTTGCCCTCTGACTTGATCCCAAATAAACATTCTCCTAGATCCACCAGCCATGATTCTCATGCTTCTCTACACTTCCCATGTCTTCCTGTAGGCCTGAGACCATTTTCAGATCTGTATAATCAGGCAAGACAGAACCTTTCTGATTCTCAGTCTCATCTTCTATAAATGGAGATAATTTTGTTCTGCGTAACTCACAATTAAAACATTTGTGAAAAGTTTAACTTGAAACTCAACCCAAATGAAAATTAGCATGGTGTGTGTGAAAGCCTAAAGCCCTTTAAAAACTGTCAGGCACTATACAAATATAGCAGTATTCCCACCTGGATATAAGCCCACCGGAGATTAGAGGGTATGCAGTGAGGAGGGCTCTGAGCAGCAGATATCCTGGTAAGGAGAAGCTGACTTCCAGTCATGTCAGACACTGGACCAGAAGACACCCCATAGGCCCCTCTCAACCCCTTGGGTCTCATATTGGCATTTCCCCCAATTCACTCTGGTTTTCAGTTCCTCCATCCCTCTAACCTACTTTCTATCTCACCACTTCTGAGTTTTTCTCATTTGGTTCTTCATCTCCAGAATATTTACTCATTTCTACCTTTCATAGAATTCAATGAACTCTGCCCACTCCTGCCCCTCCATTAACCCTGAGCTCAGAGGAACTGAGAAGTCTCTTCATCAGAGGGCCCCTCAACCAGGCTCACAGAGACTCATACACAGACTACTTCCATCTCTATATCCCTCTGGCCAGGATTTGCCTCAATAAATTACAGAACTGTGTCTTGGTGGCCATGGAAGGTTCCAAATTGAAATCATTTTCTGGGAAGATTCACTCTATATGGATCCCAGCACAGTAGTGCCATTGCATCTAAAATAGAAAATTCCAGACACTCCCCACCGCCCCACCACCCCCACACACACTGCATCTTTGTTATTGATCACCCAATACTTAGCTCCTTTATCATGTGTTAATCCTTCTACCTACTGCTAATCTTCTGATCGGAACCCAATTTTATCATTGTCCAAACCCTTTCTAAAATCTGATTGCACATAATTCTAGCTCAAACTGTCAGCTCTTAGCAATTGAGGCAATTTTCATCACTGTTAGTATAGATTCCCATGGCAACCAGGAGGCTGCTTAAAGAGACCCTATAATAAGGTGAGTGGTGAGAAAGGCCAAGGTCCTGATGGTGAAGAAGAGGAGGAATATGGTCTTCTGTCCCCCAAATGTACCTGGTGACACCAATTTCACCCTTGCCCTTTCCACCTTCCAAATACCCTCCTCCATAGGCTTTGATAGGAAGGAGAGCCAGCTGAAAGCCCAGAATTCCAAGGAACGCAGCCTCTTCCTTCTCATCACCCATTCATGTTACAAACCTGGTTCCTCAAAGCCTTGCATTTGACCTTCCTTCCCACTGATTTAGAGTTGAGAAAGGGTCTTCATGCTCACATATAGAAACTTAGAGAAGACTTCTTTCCTGTCAGGGGACTCCAGGATACTGAGCAGCCACCTTTATGACCAATATCAGCCCTTCCTTAAAATCAGTTAAATAAATCTTCATGAGGTCAGAGAATTTCTAAGGGCCCATGTTGCTCTTCTCCTAAACCTCATCCTCTTAGCCTAAGAAGGCCCAGATGTTGTATGTGGGGCTTGGCTTCACCTGTTCTCCTCATCCTGGAATACCTCTATGAATCACCAGGTCTTCTTCCTCTCTGATCTGAAGGTAAATGTTCTAATCACCTTTAGGTCACAAACCCACAGAGTGGCCAAAAATAGCAGAGTTGATCCAAGACCCTGGGAAAGGGAAAGCTGTAGGTGTGTTTGTACAGGGAGTAGCAGTGGCCACCCACCCTCACCTCGGGAGGTATAAAGGCTCTCCACCAACAACCCAGTTATACTTCTGCCACCATGAATCCACTCCTGATCCTTGCCTTTGTGGGAGCCGCTGGTGAGTTCCATGTGTTGCTTCAGGCCCTGTCTCCTGGCAGAAATACAAGTGCCACCACCTTGGTGCCTCTCCTATTTACCTGTGCTCTGATGTTCTCTCTCCCCTGTCTAACACCCCTCTATCCCATTCCTGGGCTCTCTTTAAGCCTTACCTCTCTCACCTTCTGGATGACCCACTCTCAGCTCCATCATCCATTCATCTCAGGCTTTTAGTAGAGAGGCTAGAAAGGGAGGTGAGGTGAAACAGGTTTATTAAATTGACCAGTGGTCTTGAGGCTTAGCTCTGACAATTCTGGTTTAGCTGCACTCTGGCTATTTTTTTTTTAGATTGATTAAGGTATTACCACTGTGGCTCTTCCTAACCCCAGATACACCACCTACAGAGACTGAAAGAACATTCATGCCCGAGTCCTAGCTCTAGAAATTCTGACTTCTTTGGCCTAAGGTGTGGCCTGAGCACTGAATTTTTAAGTTTTCCAGGTAATTTTAAGGTCTCAGGTGTAAAGCCAAGGTTGAGAATCACGGTTCTATCAGCCAATAACAGTGCCTACCTTTGTCCCATCCATTGGTTGTGGGGGCTCCTCTCCCTGGCCTCTCTGTGCCGATTTGAACTATGGGAGAAGCTGGTGCAGTCAGAGTGACTGAGCCAGGAGGTTTTCCTTGTTGGGTCAGCCCATCCTGATCCTCAAGGGCTCTGATAGTCGTGGGGAGCAGATGAGTGATGTTGAGCAAGAGAGAAGCATTCAGTGGGTGAGAA